CCACCACCGGTTTAGTCAGCAGCGTTTTCCTTTCACACCTTATAATCATCTCTGATATTATATAATAATTTCTCCCATTCGTTTCATCCATTTTTTCAGGCAGGGAGGACTGCCATGGAATTCTGCACAAAAAACACGTGTGATGTCCCCCACTTGCTGGCCGCAGGAATGCTTGTCTTTGATTTGGGGATGTGAACACATCGCCTACCGGGGGGGGGGGGGGGGTGCATAACACCTTGAGTCTGAGGCCACTGTCGCCATGCTGGTGAGGCTGGGGAAAGCTGGGGGGATTATGGGATATCGTGTTAAATGGACATTATCATTCGCCCCCCCCTACATCCCAGAGGGACAAGTGAGAGCCGCGATTTGTGCAAGTTCTATATTACAAATGTTTCTTCCTCACATTAACGTCAACGACGGCCTCCATATGCAGATAGATGTTTAATAAACACCTTCATGCTGTCAGTGTTTTTATTCGTTTCATCTTAGAATATCTTTGGTTTCCACGTACCACCATTTTCTTTCAGCCAAGTGTGAAATTGAAATTTCTCCTTACAGTAGTGGAGGAAAAGTCTCCCTTTCAACAAACTTTATTACTGAAAGCATTTCCCAGTTCATAATGATAATCGTGTTTCTTAATCAGCTCATCGAAAGGAGACAAAACGATAGAAAGCCTGAGAGTTTCTCATTAAGGTGACACTTGTGAAAATCATATAGCAATCATATAACAATCATATAACAATCATATAACAATGTCCCTGTCACCCTCGCTGCAAATTTCCCTCAGGGAGATAACAGGTAAACTGCATCTTAAAATGCCACGTCTGCACGGAGATGTGGATATCCATCTTTGTTTGGCACTTGTACAATATGCAAGAATGCCGCTTTGGTGTAAACCCATACACAGGACAAACACACCCTACGTTTATTGCAGGAAATCTAGACTGGAATTTTTGAATTTAGAAAAACAGAAATAAGTATTTAAAATGTACAGGCTTATACAGCGTTCACAATAAATCTTGGGATGCTTGCTTAATTCAGTAAAAATATTGCAAATTTACTGGTTTTATTAAAAAATCATTCATTTATTTGTTTACAAAAATATACATATCACACTTGAAACAATCAGTAGTTTTAAGTAAAACATTCATTTCAAGCAGTAATAAATTGAAACCTGAATTATAGTTCCAAAAGAGCTATTCTGAGTTAAAAGGTTCATTGACAAGCAGTCTCACTCTGTGCTTTTAAATTAGTAACACCTTTGTAATAAAATAAAACACCAAACATTCGTGTTTAGTATCCCTTTGGGACAAATGACCACAATTGCAATTAATAGCAAAATGGTGAGAACAGAACTGAATGAGTCAGTCAAAAAAAATTATGACACTTAATAAAAAGAAAATGTCTGTGTGAAATATATGTGCAGAGATGTTAAATATTGCTTGTCAATGGACTTTTGTTATGAAACCAATAAATTTGCAACATTTTTATAGAATTATGCAAGTGTCCCAAGACTTCCTGTAAGCGCTGTATATAACTATGTGAATTTGCATTAATACACGTTAATGTCCAAAAAAAAAAGATTCATCAGAAGGTCTTGCTTAGAGTAAACTTCTGCATTTGGTAAAGCAGAGACAGGCTTGTTATGGTTATATGTTTAGTGTAACATCCCGTATTGGTGTCTTTCATATGTGTCCAGTGTTGTCAGCTTCCTCTCCTGTGCTAATAAGGGGAGTGCTAACAATGCTAACGACGAAGGGCCGTGGTCACTGACCCACACCACGGGCCACCACCCAGGCCTCTGGGCCAAAATGTCATATCCAGGCAACCCATCTACCAGATGTCACACCCCCCCCCGGTCCCTAACAGGACAGAGACGCCTGCAAAGGGCTGCAGTGATAGCTAACTGTGTGCTCTGTTTCCCATGAATAACAGCAGGAAATCCGTCTCGCAAACGGGCACTTTTATTGTTAAATAAAACGGAGAAATGCGACCATCTCTCTTTTCCCTCCGCAGCAAAGGACATGATCGACCAGGGGACCGGCATCCGGAGGGTTCCGAAGGCCCAGCACCGACATGTGTAAAATGGGTCACTGAGGTGGGTGAGTTGAACCCCCCCCCCCCCCTCCCTGACACGACCCACAGGCACTGATCACCAGCGTCAATCACAGGTTGTCAGGGACTCTACAATGTAACACTGGTACAGGAATCTGTTTTTTTTGTGACATTCAACAAAGAAGCACATTAAAACATCCAATCCTGCACTGTTTAGCATGCCGGCTCTGTAGGTGGCACTGTCTCCTCACACCCCCAGGACTGTGGGTTTTAGTCCAGCGTGTCTTCGGTTTCCCCGTGTTTGTGAAGGTTTCCCCCCGCAGCCCAAAACTATATTCCCACAGCCTGTGCCCTGTGATGTGCTGGCATGTCCGCTGGAGTTTTCCCTGCCCGGTGCCCTCTGCTTCCTGGCATTGCCTCCAGACCCACCACAAACCTGTACTGGGCAATTTTAAATGTTTATACAGCACAGTTTGTGACTTTAGCAAATATTTTCAACTTGGTCAAGGGAATAGACTAGGCAAGAACTAGTAACCCTCAGATTTTGAGTCTTTAATCATAATGCCCTCTGCTGATGTAAGATAATATATTGTGAAGCAAAAATAATCAAAAGGGTGCAGTATATGACAAATCACATCCCTTGTTCTGACCAAGCTCTAACGGGCCTGTGTAACGTAGGACCCGGTGCTTCCTGTGATTGTCTCTCCTCTGTACGGACGATGAGACCCAGGCTGACAGAGCAGCGTGTAAGCAGACTGGGCGATGATGCACTCAGATCTGAGGATGCCATCGGCGGTAGAGAGGAAAGCAGCTCCCGCTCAGCACAGCACACAGGAGTCCCGCGGTCTCGCACCCTCTCCGCGATGGGAGGCACGGGCTTTCTCGTCGCGCTCGTCCCCAACGAGCGCTACCCGATTTTGGGGAACATTTGCGAGCCAGGTTGGGGTGCCTAGGGAACGTCGAGAAGCTGATGCGATTACCCTTTCAGTTCGGGGATTGCCAGGCTTGTATCGAGCTGGGGGGGGACTCCTTTCACCCACTCCTCAGCCAATCAGAGGCCTCCGTTTTGCCTGCGTCACCTGCTTTCTAAGCGTTGTAATGATACTTGGTGATGTGGCCCCCGCTGTCATCACTTGCACATCTCCGACGGCCAAGGAGACACGTGTTTTAATAACACCGGGTTACATTGTGTGGCCTTGAATGATTTAGGGATGGTGCGGCAGGAGGGAGGAACAGGGATCTTTACTTTTATTGGACAAAGAAAGTACGGGCTCATAAAAGGTAGTGAAAGTTTAGTTTTATGAGGCAGCCTGTTTGTGGGCTATTTATGAGGGTTTGTCAGTATGTCTGTTTTTTGGGGCCCTACACAGATCACAGGCTGCACTGGTGTTTGTAAGTAGCCCCTGTTTAATAAGACCGGGAGTAGGGAGGACGTTTTGAGAGAGGGAACTTTTTAAAGGAAGGCAGACCATTGTGGAAACCATCTATTTTTAGGTATATTTTCTATGTATTTTTTAATCAATTTTAAAACTAGTTTTTAAGACCACTTTAAAAAAACAAATGAGATTTGAACTCTGATGTTTTTAAATCTGTCTTGAAACCAGCCACATGTACTCCCTATAGAAATGGGTTATGAAACCAGATTTAAAAAGTGAGAAGCCGCTCTGCTCGTTTTGGTGAACTGCTCACGAGTGGAGCACTTTGAAAAACGGGTCACTTCTGTCACATCAACATGGCCAGATTTGCAATATTTACGAGGCTTGGCTTGTTGTGGTAATAACATATCCCAGTAAAAGGAAGTTGTTATCGATATGAACCGTGGATGCGGATCTCACCGCAGCCGACATTAAATAAATTGCGCAAATTGTAAATTGTACCGGTATGAAAATGCACCATAAATCATCGTATGTGAGAAATATCCTTATATAAAAACTGGAACCATGTCAGCTAATTTGTATTTTTTTTTTTAATATTTGATTTTGCAATATGCTCCTTAATATAAGCCTTGATGTTCTTTCTGACATTTCTGTATTGGTTTATATTTCTTTCTCTTAATGGGGATGTTTCGGAGACTGATTTTGACAGTAGTTTTAGGCCCGACTCCAAAGGAGACATTAAAAAACTCGTCAGCGCTGCTGTCGGATGAAGCGTTAAAAAGGATGATGAAACATGGACAAAGAGGAGAGATAAATCTACGTATGCAATGCTGGGGACTGCTGCTCCTGAAATGTAATTACAGACAGGGGGATTTGGAGCTGCAACTATGGGGAAGAATTAAATACCTCTGATCAAGAGTGTCTCCGTGCGGCGTCCCTGGGGGGGGCGTTCAGGATGGATGACGGGTCACATGCTCGGGACGTGGGGGCCAAGCCGTGCCGTGTGAGTGCGAGGGATGCCCGCCCCGGATGATTCACTCTTCCTGGGCAGTGATTTAATCAAACTGTCGATTTATGCATTTCTGTTTTTGCAATTAAAGCAGTTTATGTGGGGAAAACTGAAGGGGGATGTTATCTGTCGCCGCCTGTTAATTAGGCCTAATATTATTTTGTATGAAGATACCTGATGAATCCCTGAGCTCGAAAGGGACGTGAATTTTTATCTGTCGAGAAGCAGTCAGCTTATCTAATCTAATTCTTCTTCTTTTTGTTGTGGAATAATAGCTCCTCTGTATCAATTAAACATGTTTCGAAAGGACAGCAGGTCTTCTCACATTTTTTTCTGCTCAGATTCCTCCTGCTCGTGCAAATTTATAGGTATATGCATATTTTTTAGCACATCATACAGCTATGTAGATTATTGTTAGTATTAAATTATGTTATGCTCTCAACTTAGTAAATTTACTGGTTTAATATATAATGGCTCAGTAGGTACATATACAATTTCAGTCGATTCAGTGCATATTAAAAGATGAAACTCAAGGTTTCAGGAGAATATAAGTTATTGCTCTTGAACTAGAGCCATTTCTTGTTATGTTTATTTCGACTTTATGCTGAATTACACTACATATTACAATATTCTATCATAATGTCTCAGAGAAGTTTTTTTTTTAATTGTAGAAAAGCAAGTCTATTGTAAAAGCTACATAGATATTTACCTAGAATTAAATAGAGTATTCAAATATGAGGCCTGAAAAGAAATGCAGTTGTTACACTGACTCATAAGTGGTTGAACTTTAACAGGTTACAGTTACCTGAGGGTTGGCTTTATGGAGTTTCATTCCCTTTTCTGGGCATTTTAATTGGGTTGCCTAACAGTGCACAGACGGAGCTCGGTGTATGAGTCACACAGTACATCCACAACAAAAACATTATTTATAATAATCCAATATTAACTCCAATTGCAAATGTTCATATGGTGCGACTTATTCAACAATCTACTCAGAAATACAGTCAGAAATACTGTGATTCAAACTACTTCAAAAAATCCATGTAATACTTCATGGTTTAAAATGCGCTGTCATGCACTGTCAGTAAATAACCGGAAACGCAGCAGCAATCCTGAACACAGGTTAGGATGTAACATTTAGGCCCAGGAAGCAGTTTTATTAACATTGTTGCAGCGTTCAAAGAATTATGAAGAGGGACGTAATGTTTTTTTTATATGTACAATCAATCAAGATGCTTTCACGGACTGTCAGAAAGCACTTTGTTAGCTACGTGTCTCCAATATGAACAGATCCCTGATGAGTTATCCGTATGAACCAGGTACCGGCCTACCATAATTAAACCAGCCAATAAAGTAGGAATCCAATTAAAAGAGCAGGTTTTTATAGACCTTTAATATAGCATTTAATATTATGACGTTTTCAGTATAGTTAAGACGTACTGCATGTTTGTATTCAAGCGTTATTTGAATAAAGGTCAGAGTTGGCGTTATGTCTCACTCTGGAAGTTAAGTTAAGCATTTTTAAAAGCCCTGCAAAGCAGCCTTATGTGGCACTGAGCGGCATGCATATCACTTGGGCTGCGGTGGAAGAGCGGCCCCTTTCATTTCTCTCTGGGCTGTCTTTTCAGACTCCTGGATGGTTCCCCTCTGCCGCAGTCTCGCTCCAGCTCGGGTACATGGCTCCGAACCAGCGGTCAAATTGCCGCTGCCAAATCCAGACATAGGACAAAGCCTCAGAGCTGTAGGACCCCATCGGGCATATTTCACTGATTTATTACCTTATCATGATTGCCACCGTGGATGCTCTACGTTACGTGCTGTAAGTGAGGTTTTCATAACTCTTTATTATCTACAAAGTACTGTTTAGGAGACTTTGGGGACAATGCATTTGTTTTCATTAAAGCGTAGTAATTATGGGTCTCCCCCCAGTGGACACATGGTATGCTCCACAATGAGGGCCTAGGTTTCTGCTGCTAAGACTGTTTTGTATATAGTCTTGGGGGAATACCAGATTAGCCCGTCTGGACACTGTGACAGCCAAGAGAGAAGGACGGGTCTGTTTGGCAGGGTTTACCAAATCTAAACAAGGAATTATCCTATTTACCATAAGTCCCAGTCATTAGACCCCACTCAGAAGGAACTGTTTACTATATAAGGTATTGCACATTTTACCTTACATTTACATCATTATTGATTATGTTTCCTATCCAACAATGTCTTCCCACTTTTTCCAGGCCCGATTGTTATCTTGTCTCTAATTTTGTTCCACTTTTTAATTGGTTTAATCTTTCTTGCTGTCGGTCGTCCTTATGTTAAAATGACCGGCCAGGCCCCGCAGCTTAATGTGAGGCTCTCGCTTTCCCCCGGCCCCAGGGAAGTCTCACTGCCATGAAATGGCCTTCTCGAGGATTCGCGATTGTTGACGAAGAAAACCGTCTCGCTGGTTTAATGTAACATGGGCTAGAATTCATTTGGTGTTGTTGTGATTCCCACTTGAGAGCACAGCATTATCAAGAACTACGCCACCAGCGCCCTCCCTTTAAAAAGGTCTATTGAATTGAATATACGACTCTCACAGAAGGAGTCAAGCTCTGCGGTAGCCCATGGCCAGACCTGGGGGTCAGAGTGGGGGGCCCTCAATGCGGCACATATACCGGT